CTTGCCGCATCCCTTTAGTATTGTGGCTTTCTATTGCCACTTTTAATGATGCAAAGCCTCGGCTAAAGGTAGTTAGTTGTTCAGTCAACGAATTTGTTGTAAACACGAATCCGAAATGGGCTAGGCGGGTTACCCCACCTTGAACACTTACGTGCAAAATATGACCCCCGCTGAGAGGGTTACATAGACTTGCAGACCGGCGGTTGGAAACAATTTCCGATTATACAAAAATAACGCAGATCTTCAAAACAACTTGACGTTACCATGGTAGCAAGTCCGCTTACCAAAATAATAATGAGGTGTATTAAGGTGTTTCGATAGAGTTTTTCGGAGAACATACCGATATTTTTCAGTCGCCTTAAAGGGGATTTTATCCATGTCCGATCGCTATAAAATTTTCGCCAGTGATTGACTATGGATTGAAGTTTGTCAAAACGTAGTTTTAAGTAAAATCGATATTACCATGACAACAATAAACAAAAAAATTAGAAATTGATAAGAGCCGAATTTTGCGCAATCTAGACCTGCTACTAAAAATCCAGCACTAGGAACTTAAAATTTGGTGTTTAGCAAATAACCTCCGGGAGAAGTAAAAAATTCTGTATGTTTGAATTTAAATAAAACGTAAATATATTTCAAACCTCGTATTTCAATAGCCGTGAAAAATTAGAGGTCGACCAGTCATTTTAATGGAGAATAAGAATACAACGAAACCTGCATAAAGAACCCGTGATCTTCTGTGAAAGGCTGATTCAGAAATGGTTCTTAGATGTTGGATTCAGTAGTGATGAACCAAGGTGCGAAGTTGAGCACAGGTTCTTAGTTAAGGATGACAATAATTGTCCACGAAATAAGAGGTATCTACTTCCCAGTAACATTATATTCACTCTCATTATATTCAATGGTCCTTAAGACACCCACATCTGTACAAGTGTTTTCTGCGCTTTATTTCCTTTTATTTTTAAATAAGATATTCCTTCATTTGTCAGGCTGAAGAGGTTCTTACATGTGGTTAACAAAACAAATTTATGTCTGGGTGTCCTTATACTACGCAGTTACTTTAATACAGCTGAGCGTTTCACTCTATCTAATCGCGTTTTTACGACTGCCACAGAAACATCGGCCAAGATGCGACGGAGAGTAATCTGTTAGGTTTATACACAGAATACGCGCATGAGAATAGGGTGTATGGGACTGAAACGCAATCTAATCTTTCAGAGCCATGTAATTTAGGGACATTTCAAAACGTAGTCTGGGACATCTTAAGACAACATGGTTGCTTGGTCAATCCATTAATTGGAAAAAGGATACAGCAGCAGCAAGCACAGCATCAGCAAGCACAGCAACAGCATCAGTACCCATACCAAATGAGGCTGCGCAATCCACCCAAACATTGACCCCTCATCTTATACACAGCCAACTAAGAAGACGTGCATGCAGCTTGTAAATTTTGCTTTAAATTATTTTGATCGTCCATTTGTAGTGATATAGGGGGTGTAAATACACCTTGGTTTAAAAAGGCGGATAATGTATGCTAGCTATGCAGTCAAAGGAGTAAAAAAGTAACTTTGTGTATTTTTATTTTCTATTTACGTTGATTGTACTATTGCCATATTTAAAATACCTGTATCACCTCTCATCTCATAACAGTGGGTCGGGCTTAAAAACGCTTCAGTTAACCCTTGTCAAAACTCCTAACATAGGTGATCATTTTATTTCTCCTCTTGGTAGCTCTGCTCAATCAAAAACAAAAGTTGTGAGGAAATAGGAAATGCAAGTAAAACATTTCTTGATTATTATACAAATTCTCCTCACCAGTACCGAAGATAACATATAATGAACAGTGTGGAGAATGACACTGCCAATATTTGGGTTAAGTGCTGAGGGTGTGAGTGGGGGCCAATTTGTGTTTGTATTACTTTCCTTCACACTAACCTCATAAAGCGTAAGAAATTTCTGACATATATTTTCACTAGTACAAATAGTTTTTCTCCTTTTCGTTGAGCCCTTGACGTACACAAAGGATAAATGTTGATTGTGGAGCTTTACTTTCCAGCAATAGAGACGTCTCTATGACCCTCTATCAGCTCCAAGAAGAAAATAAATATTTCTTCGCTTTTGTTCTATGGTTTAACCTTTGAATGCTATCAGCCCTAGTCTTAACATTTATAAGTTTATAGAACAATTTTGTAAGTTATTGTAAAAATATGTTACGTAGCTAACTTTGTAACGCCTTACATTTATATTCGTATTGGGTGAAGTCGGTTACATGACTGAATTAAAGAATTTGTCTTCTGTAAATGCTTTTTCCTTTTTCTTTTCTAGTCGTCTCCTACTTATCCTATTTACCTTTCTTTCAATATCCTCGATCCTTTGCTGCGGCCGGGAGCGGGCAGTTTTCTGCAGATCACAGTACTCTTGTACTGTAACGGAATATGTTAAACATCAACGTCCTAACAACTCACGTGCGTGAAAGTTAAAACTGCTTAGTTTTGTAA